TTATTGTGGCTTATTTATAATTGCTGCTGTGGTCTGTTTCTAAATACAACATTTGAAGTGCCAAATGGAATGCTTAAGGAATAATGTCTTCCACATTGGCAAAGTAATATTCAGAAAGTGAACAAGTCAAAGACTGTATGTTTAAAGAGATTTGATTGATTTATTGATTATGGATTTAAATAGAACAATAAACATGCAACAATGGGAATATCAATGAAAGAAAAATATCAAATTTACAGCCAATACGACACTGAAAATTGGTATAAGATCTTCTATTGATGGTACGTTATATTATTTCTGGGTTGACTGCCCCATTCATTCTCTAAAAATTGTTGGAAATGCAATAATCAGGTTGGATCATTTTTTCATATTTGATCATTATTTTAGAAAAATAAATAAACTTGAAACAAATTTTAAGGGTAATGTTTTCAGTCTGTTTTTAAAAATTAAATTAAATGTTATATGCCCACAAAGTATACTAAACTGGTTTGTATATAATAACAGCTGCTAGGATTCTCTGTGCTTCTCATTAGAAATCTTGAACAATTCCTTCCATGGAAGAATGGCAATTTACATTATGGAGTATGCCTTGATGTCAAAATTAACTTAATTTATAAAAGGTGAAAGATCTATATCTTTATATGATCTGAAGAGAAACCAGATATATCATATAGTAATAAATAATGGAAATGCCATGAGACAGAGGGAACATATTACCATATGTGGTGGACATGGAAAAAAATTCAAAAGTACTGGAAAGAAATGCACAGCACAATTCAGAGAATTTTCGAAATTAAATTTTAAATAAAACCACAGTTCTTCTTATTAGGCATAATTCCAAAACATATTAATCAAAAATATCACAATTTACTAAGATACACATTTACAGCAGCAAGGATAAATTTAGCACAGCACTGAAAAAGAGATATATTACTAAAGATATGAGACTTGGAATTTAAATTTGGAGAATCTGCTGTATAAACAAAATTAACAACATATATTCACAACAAAAGTTTAATCAAATTTAAGCAACAATGGCTTCCATACATTCTATACATTACATGGCAAGGCAAATAAAAGTACTTAGAATGTGGTTTTTAAGGAGAAAAAGAATTGACTAAAAATTGAAATCAGAAAGACATAAAAAAATTTAACTGTCTATAAATTTTGTACAATAAAGGGGCAGTTAAAAACTAATATTTACAGTATCGAATATTTTTAGTAGCTTTTTCTTCTTTCTCTCTCTCTCTTTATTCTTGAACAACAAACAGTAGATATTTTGGCATTTAGCTCAGTGATTTAAATTCTTACTTACATTGTTAAAATAATGTAATGTACTTAATTTAATGTTTTTCGTAGTTCATTTCTAATCAAAGATATACCGAGCACTGACTGTACAATCTTGGTAGATCCTTTGTTCACTTATAGATATTATTTTTCTGTGGTTTTTTCCTCTTTTTTCTCTCTTTTCCTGTGCTTGTTTGCTTTTTTTCTTTTAAAAATGTTTAATAAATTTTAAAAAATTACTTCATATGTGAGAAAAAATCTGATACAGAATGTAACTCAATGTGGAAACTGGTTTTGCATCATAATTTTACAAAAGAGATTGTACCACATCCAAAGTTTGGGTTTACCTTAATTTCAGATTATAATTTTCAATTTTTTAATGATTATTAAATTTGCCAAATTCCTCAGATTACACAGAAATTATTTCAATTTCTATATCTCATTTTCTAATTTATAATTTTATTTATGCTGATTACAGTTGTTAATTATCACATATTAAAGTCATCAATATGACTTTAATATTGAGTTATTTTATCAGTGACATAGAACTTCAAATTGATATAAAATATTCTAATATGCAGATTTACATTAATGTCATTTCAAAACATTTAAAGCTAATTTATAATGTTTGTAAATCTCTGTTATATCTCTTTTTGTTATTTTTGTTCCCTTCTTGTTTTTTCTTTGGTTGAATTTGTAACATTATTGAATTTGGAGCACAAAATTTTGACTGGGGCCATGGTAGAATAATGCTTCTGCTGAATCTGCCAAACTGCAGAATCAAACTGTTTCCCATAAGACTGACTACAAATTCTTAAAATATAAGCGTCACCTATTTCACATTTTAACATTTAAACTGGAACACAGTGTTCAGTGACAAGCATGGAATCCCCAGCCTTAACCTGAGACACATGAGCAATTCTTAGAAAGAATATATTGACTATCTGCCATTAAATCAGTACCAACTCTTAGCAACCACATAGATTTTTCTCTATGAAGATCTGTCCCTAACTTGATCCTTCATATCTTCCAGTGCTGCACTTATTGCCACTGTAAATGAATCCATCCACCTTGCTGCTGGTCATTCTCTTCTATTTCCTCCCACCTTCCCCAGCATTAGAGCCTTTTCCAGAGAGCTGGGTCTTTGCATAATGCATCTGAAGTAGACTTGAGCCTGGTCATTGGTGCCTTGAGTGAAAACTCTGGGTTGATTTGTTTGATGATCCATCGGTTAGTTTTCTTGGCTGTCCGTGGCATTCTCAGGAGTCCTCTTCAACACCAAGTGTCCAATATAGTAAAATAAATAATGAACAAATTGCCTAACAAGTAGATGAAGAGAAATGAAAAGGAAGACTGAGAAAGCTGTGGTTGAATGGAATTGGTAAGACTCTCAAAAAACAAAAAGCAATGAAGAAGTTTATGGATGTGGTGGATACAAGGTTTGCAAGGATAGGAAAAATATGGAAAGTTATAGAGAATATACCTGGTTCTACTTTTGTTTCTACTTCTTTTTCTTAAATTATGCCTTTAATTTCTTGGCTTAGAATGTCATACTCTTTTTCTGAATTTTGCCAAATGTTGCTTAACCCAAAAAGGAATGGCATGATGATTATGTATGTATATATGTATGTGTGTATGTTGTAGTTTGGAAATATTTGGAGAGCAGGATTTCTTTCTTTCTGCCTTACAGCCGTGAGAGGTGGAATGCGCTCAAGAAACAATGAACAATCACTAACCACTTTAGGCATTACATTTTACATGCTATAAATGTGCAAGTGAAGTGTATTGAATGCTGTAGTCTGTGTTGGGCATACGTATCTCTATTATATTTAGATATGCATGAGCTTGATATGCACATCTATTTCCTCCTATCTTAATCAGAGAAGACAGAAAACTTCTTGGTTTAATTAAGAAGGTTAGATATAGAGTTGCATTGAATAAAGCTCATTGAACCGGATGGTTATTCATTGAACATCAAAACAGCTCCCAACCCCCATACAGCTTGTTCAGAACCATACAAAGAATGGTTCTGGTGACTGTAGGAGGAGGGGAAATTTTTACCAAAAACAATTATTCCCACACCCTTTAGTTCACATACATTAGTTAGCAGAGTAGAAACCTTTTCTGGATTCAACCATTTTCTACAAATGAAAGGATTTATTTCATTTGGTAACAGTTCTGAATCCAATCCACTGGTATTCATACTATCTAACCGAGAAACTACAATTAAGTATCACTACTTTACTGGGAGACTCTTCCATAGCATAGTAGATCATGTTTGCAAAATTGTTGGTAAAGCTGAAAAATATAATGAACCATCAGAAACAGTAAATATTCTGTAATTGAAAAGACTTGATTCTTGCTGAGGTACTTTTAATGCTTTTAAAACCATCCTCACCTTTGAATAAACTATTGTGTTCCACTTGATTGACTACTCAAAATGCTATTCATCTTAGACTGAAATCCTTACTTTTAGAATACTTGGCAATACTTCTTGTCAAAAGCAGGTGTGAGAGACTAAAAAGAAAAACAGAAGAAATCCCTTTGAGCTGCTTCTATTTTATCTCCTCAGCCATGTCATAAAAAGAGATTTCATTTCTCATCTCAGTGATATTTGATACATCCAAATTATATTTATCTTGAACTTTCATTATGAATATTTCAAAACTATGTAGAATTTGTGACTGATTGTTTGGAAAATATCATTGACCTATTATCTCAAAAATCCTATTGTAACTTACAGTTTTAAATATATAATCATTCTCTTGGTAAGGATTTTAGAGTTCTCTGAATCTTGGCATTAACAGACGCATCAGCGTGACTGTAAATTGAGATATCCTGTAGCCACATAACTCCTTCTGACTGTTTTGTGACCCAGTTCCATGCATCCAAGTTACATAGGCTAAATGCCCTGTTAGAAAAAGGAGATAGATCCAGCCATACACAGTGGTACTGATTGTTTTGTATGAAGTATTGGTCTATCAATCCATAATTGTAACTAAAACTTGCCATATATTAACAACCTGTGTTTAAGCTTGTCAGGAGGAAGGATAGAAAATACTAACTCTGCCATTTGTATGTCAGACGTTTGTGGGATATTATTTACCAGTCATTAAACTATTACAAAGAAATAACTTTTTGGTAAAGGTGTTAAGTATAATTTGTTTCTCAAGTATTTTATAGCTGAAGATTCTCTCTCATTTTATCTGCTAAGAACTTTCCTTTTTGATAAAAAGGAAGCAATTTCTTTAGGAACTGAACTATTCTTCATTTAGTTTGATAGTTATATGTGACCAATATAGTTCCTACTACTGTGCTTCAGTGAGAACCACCACAAATTCCAAATGTACCACTTACAGATATATACATCAGAGGAAGTATGTATCTTTGAAAATATCCAATTGTGGCATGACTTCTTAAAGAATTTTCATAGCTTCAATGTATTTTTTGGTTGGGATCCAGAATAAGTTAACTGCTTTTAGTTTCCATTGTAATGAAAGTTAGCCATGATGAACTTAATCACATTGATTTAAGTAGGAATTGTGTCCCTAACTCAGTATTCCTCCAATGTCTTAATACAATGACCAAAATCAAATATGCATATTATTACAACACTTCACATTTTTGTTTTCCATTTTTCTAGGGCTTTCTTGGTGGTCTATCAGTAAAACACGTGCACATATTCAGATGACTTTGGGACATTTTTTGCATCAATGATGAAAGGCTTATCTGGCAGTCGCAGTCACCATCATGGGGTTGCCTGTGAACCTGTATGTGACTCTATGGTACATCACTCAGATAGGAAGCCATATTTGTTAAATCCTGTGGACCATCATCCTGCAGATCATACTTACTATACTCAAAGAAACTCTTTTCAAGGAGAATGCATGGTTCCATACAACGATCAGATTGCTAGCAGCACATTTCCTCGGAGACATTATAATTCCCACAATGAACTTAAGGATGAATGTGCTTTGGTGCCACATGGAACAACCAATAAAGGTAATCGCATCCCTGCCAATCTTTTGGACCAGTTCGAAAGGCAGCTTCCTCTTAATCGAGATGGCTACCATACTTTACAGTACAAAAGGACTGCTGTAGAACATCGTAGTGATAGTCCAGGAAGGATCCGCCACTTGGTTCATTCTGTTCAAAAGCTTTTCACAAAATCTCATTCTCTTGAAGGCCCATCAAAGGGCAGCATCAATGGAGGCAAAGCAAGCCCAGAGGACACACAGACTATAAGATATGGCAAACGTAGCAAAAGTAAAGATAGAAGATCAGATGGAAAATCCAGGTCAAATGCATCTGGATGGTGGAGCTCAGATGACAACTTGGATAACGATGTTTGCATTTACCATGGACCAAGTGGGATAATGACTATGGGAAGATGTCCTGACCGTTCCACTTCTCAGTACTTTATGGAAGCCTATAATACTCTTAGTGAACATACTGTAAAGCCTTCCAGAAGCAATAATGATGTTAAATGCTCTACCTGTGCAAACCTGCCTGTAAATTTGGATGCTCAGTTAATGAAAAAAAGCTCTTGGTCCTCTACTCTGACAGTGAGCAGAGCTCGTGAAGTTTATCAAAAAGCTTCCATGAACATGGACCAGACAGTGGTGAAATCAGAGACTTGTCAACAGGAGCGGTCTTGCCAATATCTTCAGGTATAGTATATGTCATTGATTGTATTACTTGTACTGCTTTTGGTTCCATGTATGCTTTTCACACTGAGATGAGATTGAAAATGAAAAGATGTAAGTGGGAGTTAATCTAAATACAAATTATGAATAAATCTGCATTTTGGTTGCTAAGAAGCAGTGTTTCAAATGAATGCATACAGTGAGGAGCTGGTTCACTTTCTTAATATGTGAAAAGAACAAGAGCTCTCTGAATAATTGGGGGGGGGATTAAAAAGGCACTCAGGGCACACAAAACAGCACAGCAGGTCACAAGAGCTAGAGGTAGTAAAGCTTTCATTTTGCATTACAATCTCAGTGAACTGATATTCCCAGGACAGACATTTGTCAGCTTCTGTAATCTTGGCATCTGCCTTTATGTTATTTGGAGATGAAAACTTGAGACCCTTTAAACACTTAATAATGTCACACCGTTTTGTAAATTGCAAAGCAACCTACAATCAGTTTTTGTCACATACAAAACAACTGAACAGCTTTTAGGAAATAATTATATGAAGTGACCAGGTTGGTGTTCCTGGCTGTTATTCCTTTAAAATAAATAGCTAGCACTCTCTGAAAAATGCAAAGTTGAAAGACTGAAATTATTGAATGTTCTGATTATACTCTTTAAGAGTACATCACTGACTCCCGCACAAGCTGTTTGCAGTTAATAAAGCGTCACTATTTTTCACCAGTATTGTATCTTTAAATGTCAGGAATCAGATGTCTGCTCTTGGAGCTATCATACTGCCGGTTAATTTTTGTGGCAAGAACGTGGATCAGAAAATTAACACAGTTTCAGCTCTAAAAGATCTGTGGATTGTTTTTTATGCATTTTATTTTGAAGTGGATATGGCACATCTAACTGTGCATGGACAGTGGAGTAATGTCAAACAAAGAAGAGAGAAGACTATGAGGAAAAAAGAGGTTTGATCCATAAAATCTTTTCTTGTTGTTGGGAGGGGGATAGTGGGGGTAAGTAATTGCTCTGTTCTTTTTATCTGCTATTTAGTTTTATTTCAAAACATTGTGCATTCCACAATTAGTGCTAGCTGATTTTAGCTTGATGGGCAGTCTGCAATCATAATTTTGCACTTGAGTCTCTGTGTTCAGGTAAAGGATTGGATTCTATTGTCCTGCTTACTTATACTTTTATAGTTCAGATGACCTAGAAATGAAACCAGAGCACCAAGTTTTAAGGGGTTCTTTTTTTAATACAAAAATGCATTGTACATTAAACTGCACCCCAAAATATAAAACAGCATGATGTATGTCCTATATGAATGTTTATCTTTGTATATTCTTAAGTTCTTATGGACTATCAGCATCATAAAATTGGAGAATTTCAGTCGATCATATCAAAATAATGATACTGTTATACTGTGTGTCAGGCCAGAAAAAAATTAACTTTAGCTTCAGAGACTTGTCAGTTATATAGCTCATGATCTAATGTATGATCATATATGAGAGTGTGTATCTTTCTCTGTGTGTGTGTTTGTGTATGCATGTGTGTGTGTGCGTATTCATTCCTTTTGCATGGGCTGTTTTGCACGGAATGATAATATAAGTGATAGGATTAATTTACTGAAATTGAATTAATCTGCAAGTTTGCATACCTAGGAATGAGTCCCACTTAATTTAATGGAACTTACATCTGAGGGGATATGTATATGCTTAACCTGTTAGAGGGCATTAGCTACTCTTCATCAGTGAATACATAGCATAGTCCTAAATGCATATATAGTAGTTAAATGTTCTTACATTTTGCCATTTATCTATAACTTAAGATTTTAGGTTGACTTTTTTATTTAGAAAGAAGTAATTTCATTATTTTGAGATGATTAACATAATATTATGGATACAAGGAAGGTACTAATCGGAACATTATAAGTACTTTAAATATTCTTTAACTCTATTAATCAAATGAGAATTCCAAGTTAAAGAAGTAACACAGGAGCATAAAATTTTTGCAGATTCTTTAATAAGCAGCTCTATAAATATAAAAAGATATGTTTGCAAAATCATATCCCTGTCATCCCTAGAAGAAGACATGCACTAATGATTGTGCACAACACAACAAATTTGTTAAGGACAGCTGTCATTTTTTCAATCTCCTGAACAGGAGAACTTCCAGATAGGTAACATTCAAGTAGGGGAGATTCCCAGGTTCTTTCTGAAGTAAATATATGTGAATATGATACTTTTTCTAGGTAAATGTAATCCATATACATTATTTTTCCTGCAGTTTACAGTCAGATGAATCTATACCTCAAATATATATATATATTTCTATTGTTGTTGTAGTAGTAAATAAACATTTTGAGAGAACAAGGAAGAGGATATCAAAAGAGAGATAATCTGATGACATCAGCATTTAAGTTCAGAAGTAATGATGTTTAAGAATCTCTAAGGGGGCTAGAGAACTGGCACAGGGGCCCTCTGAAAGTTCATGACAGAAAAAAATGAATAGAATCTAGGTAACAGGAAACTGTTATTGAGGCCTATTTTGGGTTAGGGAAGGATTATACTTCTGTGGGGTCTTCAGATTGTTCTGCTGGATTGTCCCTTATTACACAAGTCTATTTCTTCATTGTTACCATAATCACAAAGACTAGGGATCTAAAAGGAGCATGAGTTTTTCTGCATTTGTGTTTTTTCTGTATTTGTTGTTTTATTTAAGTTTCTCAAGTTTACAAGGGGCCAATTTGGCTATAATCAATGAATCTGAATATGTAGAATCAACTATGATCATCACCCAGATAATTCTTTATACTTATTGAGCTACTGTGGCTTTGGTAGCATAAAATGTACATTTGTGATGGAATGTATCTATGAAGTGATGTGAGAGATCAAGGCTATCAGGAAGGAGGGGGTGCATTCCAGGAAGGGAAAGGAGACAAAAGACAACACAGTCCTGCAGGAGAAGTGTGGGAAGAGTAAGAAATTCAGGACAGCCACTCCCTAGAATTTCCCAGGGTACATCCACTAGTTGCTGTAGTATAGATTTAGTCTAGCAAGGTTCTGTCTATAAGGTGTACACAAATAAAGGAACTTAACTCAACTGGACTGTTTCACCGTTGTTCTTGGGCTGCGCCTGACATCATCCCTACTGACACTCAGACCTCTTAGTAGTTTTTGGTATCCCTATGATTGTCATCTATTACCTGTTTGTGTTGGATAGAGGAGATTTTTTTTAACTGAACTGTGATATTTATTTATGCTATGGCATTCTAAAGAATCTTGTTTTTCATATATATATTATAATTGGTTGAGACCACTGAGAGAGTTAGTAATTGGCATGATATTATACTGATGGTGTCCATTCAGCTCTACTTTTATGTAATCCAGGCAGGGCAATGGAACACTAAATATTTTGAGTAATGAACTGGATGGGGGTTACATCTAATCACAATGGAAGTGCTATTAATAGGTGCTTCATCATTTTACAGAAGTGATTTTCTGTTTCTTAATGTCATCATCATTTCACTTTGGATCAGATTAGCCTAATTTAAGATTCAAGCCTGACTTTGGATGCCAATTCATTATAGTGCTATAAAGCCAGATGGTTTTCACAGTTCTTGTAGCCCTGAACATAAGAAAAGACCTGCTGAACTTTAAGCAGGGACAGGATGATTGAACTTCCTCTGTCCCATCTAGAATGAGTTTAAAAACATCCAAATTCACATTTATGGAATGGGTACTCAAGGATTGGTTTCAGTTGAATCTGGCAGTTCAGTGTTGAGAAGATGGTGAAGCTGGGAACTGCACAGAGTTTTTATCACTGTTTATACTTATCCTAAATTCTGAGTATTTTCCTTTGTGTAAATATGGTACTTTGATTTGATTCTCCTAAATCTTCCTCACTCACCATCGTTGATTGAAACTGGGTTAATTACATAGTAGGCTGCTTCAACAACTTCAGAATATATCAGCTGTTTCAATAAGAGTTCACTTGTTTGAGCATGTCACATAGGTGTAAAAAGATATTTACTGCTCACTTGTTTGTTTCCGCATGTAATTCAGAGAACAGTTTTGAAGTCCTAAACTGTTTGGGGCTAGGGATCATTTTCTCCCACATGAGTCAAATTACTTTTTTAAAGTGTAAAACTTTAAGAAAACAGAAAAGAAACAACCAAACCTTCAAGAATATGCATTTGATATTGGCTTTCATATTTATATTTGGCACCCTTCATCTCCCAAATACACTTTGTTCCATTGCACCTGTTTTAATTTTGTAACTTGGCCTTGCTGCTAGCAACTGAATTTAAATTAACTTCTACAGAGATATCAGATATCCTGTTCTTAAATATCTGTGGAGCTATCAAGTTGTTCCCTGATGTAAAATATCTGGGATATCCATATACATAAAAGAAACCCCTCAGTGTTGTGAACTAGTAAGCATGTTTCATTAGAATATATTTTATTTCCTTTAATAGGCAAAGTTTGGGTAGCCAGGAATCTGAAAAGGACTTTACTTTGTCCCAGTACTTAAAGGTTCTAACTATGGTACTTGTTTCAATAGGCTGGAAACCAGAGTCTGCACAGAGAAGGTTTATAAGGATACTATTTGGAACTTTCCAAAATAGATCTTCAGAATTTCTTTTGAAAACATTTGAGGTTGTATGACGAAGAGAGACCCATAAAGAAAATTAGGGACTAACTTCATTTGAAGAGATCTAATGCCAGAGGAATTTGACAGTCGCCAGTAGTCCAACACGTAATGTGTGTGCAAATCTACTTCAAAAACTCTGGGCAAACCTTTCGTTATTTTCACATTTCTACATGCTATCATTTTCACCATTACCACATTCAGTAGGAGGATATGGGATAAAAAGAGAACTAATTACTTAAGTTTCCACTTAAATCCTTGATTATTAGGTCCAGCACATTCAGGAAGGATCATCATCATTCCTTCCAAGAATCCTTCCCTTTTCAGGCCTCCCTTTCTATCTGAAATCTGTCTGAAATGGCCTAAGTGAGCCCTACAA